TCATGTTCTCTTAAAAAAGAATAGTCCCACATACTCTTAGAAAAAAGTGCTTATATTTTTCTAAATACAATTTTCACATTACTATTAAGGTTCTGCTCACCCTTTTTAAAGATGTGTTGATAGTATTTACCTTTATGGCTTGTTTTATTTTAATCACTTAAAACATCACTTAGATAATGTTAAATTTAGAAGTCCTTTTATTATTCATAATCTAATATGAATTATTCATAATACTCTTGGACAAGAAAGAAATGTCCCTTATCAAATGATATGTTATGTTCACCAACATCCTCCATTAAATTGCCATAACTAAGGCATCTAGATCTACATTTGGCTGAAAAACAGAAGTGCATCTCTGCTAGGTTCCTAAGATAAAAAGCATCACATTGGACTATAGCAGTACACTCCAACCTTTCCGATTTGGTAGACAGTCGGAGGCAGAGGCGGTGTGGAGGAGAAGGGATGGTTTTGTGCACATGCACCACTTTCACAAATGCAGCTGCACCTGCTCTCTCACACACACACTCACCCACCACTTCCATGGCCCAATTCTGAATAGGCTGAAAATTCTTGTGATTTTAATTCAAAGCATTCTTATAGCAATTCAGTAGTTATTTCTTCAAAGCAATACATGAAAGGCTTACAAATCTTTTGCAAAAGAAGAAATATTCACCAACATTTACAATCATGTATTAAATAATTACATACTGCAGTGCATACGCATACAAACACACACACACACACACTTCAGAGTGAGGCAGAGGTCTATTTAATTTTTTCTGGATTTCCCTGAAAACAGGAATGGTAACTCTTCATGACATAGCTAAAGAGTTTAAAACAGCTTTAATGTTTAAGGGTATAATTCCAGAACATATTTTCAAAGAACTGAACAATCATGAGATTATGTTTTGTACTAGAAGGCTGAATGAGATAGTACAGTGGAAAAAAAGTCTCACCCCATATTGTGTTCTGCTTTGTTAGTTAATAGTGAAAAGCTAGGAATTGGAAGGAATATAATGAGAGGTTTTTATTCCATTATTTAAAAAATTTCACTGGGGAAAACTTTTGTCTTCCTGCTTCTATTCATGAATCTTTCCTGGTAATCTTTAATCATTCATTTTGCCATTTCAGACTGAAAACATGTGTTACAATGGTGTGTGCTTCTGAAACTTGAAAGAAAAACAATTTTAGGATTTGTAAACTTTTTCCCAAAGAGGTAATCCTTCCATGCAAGACATTAGAGCGTACAGACCACAAACCTGGAAGCTTTGCATTAGTTTTTGTTTATTAGAAGGACACATGGGAATCTTGCAATAGAACCTGTTGTCATGAAATTATGGAAATGTGGAATTGGGAAGGCAAATTAAGAGTGAGAAAATAACATAGAAAAGTTAAGTTATTTGTAGTAAAAATAGATCATGATTAACGCAAGTTTATTGTGAATAATGAAATATTCTACTTAGTGCAGTTTGTACAATGATGCCAAGTCACATTTAATGTGAACCAAAATTCAGTTTAAGGCAAGGCTAGGGCATGCACAGTTGAAGTTACCAAGCTGCCACTGGGATATGTTTTATTTTTTTTGTAATTACTTTAAATAAATTAGAAAAAGAAATGTCAGAAATAGTATACTTTCTCATTAGCTTTCCTTTTGTAGCGCTATATGAAGAGAAAGCTATCTCATAGAATACCTAGAATTATATTATTGGTACTGTTAGTTGCAACTTAGTATCAATATTTATACATATTTTGACATACATTTTGATAATTAGCTTAAGTAAAAATGGGAAAACTATGATTTACAATGCAACCTCTTAGCGTGTATATTAAAGATTTCCAGCTAGATTCCTAATGTATCAAATTGAACAGACTTTCTGTAACAATATTATGAAATTCTTTCTAGATGTTAAAGATATGGTGGGTAATCCTTCTTTCATCTACAGTAAAAGAAATAAAACAAATGTACATGTATGATATTAATGTTCTGCCCTCAATATTATTATAAAATTAAATCAACCGTAATTGCATAGTATTGTGAATGTATTATTTCCAATTCTTAGATCTATTGTTTAAGATAAAATGAGCTGGAATTATGGTTGTAAGTCATGGTAGTTGTTAAGCAAAGTAATTGTACACAATTTTACAACATGTTTTGCTGATATGGTGGACATTTAAGCAAAGCTGTTTTCACTAATGGACATTTTTTGCTTGAAGTTGGAAGTAAATGCTGGAAATTGGCAAAAAATGTTGGAAATCTTGGCCATGTAACTACAGGAAAACGCAGATGGCTACAAATGTGAGACAGATGCCAATTGTTCAAAATGTGACTGTAGGGGAAAATCTGAGTTCTTGGATCATGCAGAGTCTATCAGCATTGAATCTCTGATTATCAGAGCCCAGATGCGATAGGTGGGACATGGCATCAGAATGAATGACTGGTGTATGGTCCATGAGCGTACTGAATCCAGAAAGAGACTTTGAGGACAACCACACAAATGCTACAAAGATACTATGAAAGAAACTTTGTGCCATTTATGACATCCAGCCAAGAAAACTAGAAGATGCAGCTCCTCTGCTATGAAAGCCTCACCAGCTTTTAAGACAGCCATAATCAAAAACTAATAGAAAACCATGAGTGGTGTCACAGAATGATACTCTCAATTACTACAACAATGGACTTCCAATTCTCCTCTATGTCCAGAATCCACAAAAAACAATTATAATATCTAGTGTTATGGAAGGGATACCTGTTGTCGGAGGCCTCCTTGGTACACAGTTCCGATATGACAGCGCCCCATCTGATTGCCAGATTTCACCGCCAGAATCCCATGAAAAGGGGTTCAGAGTGTAATGGATTGAACTAATTCTGTCTTTTGTCTTATAGTTGCCATCTCTGTGGTGGGGGGGTACATGTCAGCCCTGGGACACACGGGCTGCCATTTCAGGGGATGGATGACTCACTCAGCACTGATACCTATCTTGATGGCATGGTAGTCCTTCCATCCTTCCAAGATGGATAAAATGAGGAGCCAGATTATTCTGTTCTAAGATCAGAACCGGACAGACTGAGGAAAGGCGGCTTTAAAGGTTGCTCATGGTTTATTTCAAAAAGCACACTAACGTGACAGTTCTTGTTTAGCCGTGAAGCAACAGCTATTGGCCTCTTTGATAGCTCCTTTTATACTGAGCAATAAAAATGGCAGCCAATCCGGTTGCGGCAGTGTGCTCCCTGCAGGAGCAGACCATAGGGAGAACTTCAGACACAGCATTCCTTCCCACCTGAACAGCGCATGCATAGTCTTGGGAGTCTTGGAGGTAAGCATGGTAGTATCTGGCCCTCGTGGATCTGTGCAGAGTAGGTTCAGTCGTTGCTGCTGGAGAAGTCAAGGTTTCTGGAATGGCCGGAGACTGCATCAGTACTTTGCCTGGAATGAGTTCGACCAGAGCTGGAATCTCTGCTGCATGCTCTCCGGCATGTTGCAGGCATGGTCAGCTCGAGCTCTGCTGGTGGGGCCTTAATGTTGTTCCAAGGTGGATAATATTCAGGCCCAGGGTTTCTTCACTCCCTTAACTGGTTAATATGGAATCTTCACACTCTGCCATCCTTCAACTCAGTTACAAAAGAACAGGGCCCTGTTATTTTTATTATAGTGGCTGCTAGCCATAGAGGGTTGCCTACATAATTCTGGGCATAAATCGGGTCCCCTATTTTAAAAACCCTGGTCTTGCTGGAGGAGTCAAGTGGCTTCTCTGGAGCATAATTGGGGTGAAGCTTGTCTAGGTCCTCAGCCTTCGGCCCATTAAGAGTTTGGATGGACTGTAATTGGTTGTGGGGCAGGGAGCAGAGTGCTGTACCATTAGGAACTGTGCTATTTTAGCTGGCCAGTTCCCTGGGCCCATTCTGGCCAGTGCCTCCTTGGCGGTCCTCACCATCCTTTATGCAATCCCATTTCCAGCAGGATGGAAGGGGGCCACCAATGTGAGCTAGATCCCATGCCCTATTAAAAATAACTCAAAGGTTCTGGACATATATTGGAGCACATTGTCTGTGACTATGAGATCCAGGAGTCCATGTGTGGCAAAGAGTTTCTGTAGGGTGGTGATCATGGCCTTAGACGTGGTTGAGGGCATCAGCAGTACCTTTAGCCACTTTGAGAAGGTGTCAGTCGTAATTAAGAAATCTTGCCTTTTAAATGGCCCTGCAAAATCTACGTGTAAGCGGGACCAGAGGCCTTGAGGGCTTTCCCATTCCCTGACTGGTGCTAGAGGGCATGTAGGCCTTGATTCCTGGCACTGCTTATAGCCTGACATCCATTTGGAGACTGCTTGGTCCATTCCTGGATACCACATGTCCTTCCGGCCCAACCCTTTCATATGGATAATGACTGGATGACTCTTGTGAAGGGCTTTCAGGACTGGGCAACGTAACGAGGCTGGGACCACTACTGTACTTCCTCCTAAACAGCCCTTAAGAGTGGATAGTTTGTGCTGATGACTTTTAAAGGGGCGAAGACCCTTGCTCACCAGCCCCAGTGGCCACTCCCTTTTCATCCAGTCCAGTACTTGTGACAAAATGTTGTCCTTAGCAGAATGTTTAGCCACGCACATCTGTGGCTGTTAATGGGAACTGATGGTGGTTTATTAGAAAGATAGATAGTGCCAGGACACAGCACAGATTGTTTGGGAAAATATGCTGACTCTGTAAACTGCTTAGAGATGGCTGTAAAGTACTGTGAAGTGGTATATAAGTCTAAGTGCTATTGCTATTAAGCATATGGATTTTTACTCTGGTATGAAAATTGCATCTTCAATGGTACAGTTCTGTAAATCTCTCCGTTTATTCTGCAAGGCTATGGAAACTTCCATGGGGAGACTTACAAACTTCCATGAGGAATTACAAGTGAAATGAAAAGTCTGGCTGTTCAAGCAATTTTCTCACATAATGTTGAACCAATCCCATTAAAAAAAATGTGTAACAATTTAACCAAATATTTACTTACTGACTGTTCATTTAAATCCTGAGTATCTTCCATGGAGATTACTCACTTTTCTTCCACAAAGAGAACCGGTTGAGAAGTAACTGGATGTCCTAATTTTAAAAACAACAAGACAAAGTATTACTTGGTTTCTACAGTTGTACACACACACACACACACATGCACAAAACCTACATATTAGAAACATATTATGCCTATACAGTAGATTCATTTGTTCATAGCTGAAAGAAAATTTAAGTACAGCAACTAATTGGCACTAGATGTTCAAAACAAATCTATAAACAATGCATATAATACATTGAAATTGGAACTGACATTAATAAGTAGAAGGTACACATTTTACTACCAATATTTTTTTTTTCATTTTCAGCCATGATTTTCCTTAAAATCAATTTTTGTTCATAGAAATAGAAAACTGTATCAAAAATTTCAGAATTTATCTGCATTTTCAATTTTTGGTGGCAACTCCATGTGAAATGTAAACCAAATTCCAGTTTTCATATGCAAATGAGAGTCTTTGGTAGAAAAATCATTCTAAAATCAATCAGCAAAAGCATTAGATAAGAATCAGAACTAAATAAGCTTAAGATTTGATTAATCTCTATCCGAACGTAGAAAAAGTTTTAGAAATATCAAATACAACATTTTAAATTTGTGATCCAGATCTTAGAAATATAAGTTAACAGTTCCATTTAAAAGAATTACTTGGATTGTTAATGTTTGTATCTAAAAAGGAAGATAGTCCACTTTTATGGCCAATTCATGAAAGCAAGATAAAAGTGGCACTTCAGTTAATTAGAATATAACTTCATGCTACATGGTAATACATCCACTCTTTCCTGTGATAACTTGCTAAGTAGTACCTTTTATTACAACATGGAATAATTCTGTGAAAATATCTACAGACCCCTCACATCCTGGACATAAACTATTTCAACTCCTACCCTCAAAACGACGCTATAGAACACTGCACACCAGAGCAACTAGACACAGGGATAGTTTCCCCCCGAAAGCCATCACTCCGCTAAACAAATAATTCCCTCAGCACTGTCCAACTATTTACTAAGTCTGCATTACTATTACTATCAATCCTCCCATCCATCCTATCACCCATCTCCTCCCACTTATTACTATATTATTGTAGCATTGTTGCTTGTATCCTTACGATTTATATTGACTGTTTCCTAGTATGATTTGATCGCTTATTGTACCCTATGACTATTGTTAAGTATTGTACCTTATGATTCTTGACTCTTGATGAATGTATCTTTCCTTTTATATACACTGAGAATATACACTGAACCAAGAGAAATTCCTTGTGTGTCCAATCACACTTGGCCAATAAAGAATTCTATTCTATTCATGAAATTATTTTTAAGTTCATACATGAAATTTTACTCTCTTAGAGATGGGGTTATTGTTGATATATTTGTATACTGCTTTATTTCAAAATGAGACTCCACGCAGTTTATAATAAAATAACTATTTACTAACAATTACACAAACCCATCAAAATGGAACTAACCAATATTTTCATGATGGCATGAGAGATAATTAAATTTGTCCATAGGACCTCTGAAAAAGCCTTTCTGAAGAATAGGTTACTCCAAAGGATTTTAAAACCGAGGGAAAGTCATGATAATATGGTTACAAGTTGCATTTGTTTTCATGAAACATGCCTAAAAGTATACTCCAGTACTAGACAATAAAGTTGCTCCCCAATACATTCATCAAGAGTCAAGAATCATAAGGTACAATAGTTAACAATAGTCATAGGGTACAATAAGCAATCAAATCATACTAGGAAACAGTCAATATAAATCATAAGGATACAAGCAACAATGCTACAGTAATATAGTAATAAGTGGGAGGAGATGGGTGAAAGGAACGATGGGAGGATTGATGGTAATAGTAATGCAGACTTAGTAAATAGCTGGACAGTGCTGCGGGAATTATTTGCCTTAGTCAACAAAGCATTCAATCTAGCATTCTAAATTGGCTGCAGTTTCAATACCATGTAGAAAGCATTAAAATAGGCCAAATGATAGTCAGATTTGGAACGTTCAGAATTACTGTATATACAATTGACACAGAGGTCATAGTTGTGCAAATACAATCCTATTTTCAAAACTGGAAATTTAAATAGAAAGGTTCTTGTATGTGTAAATAAAGTTTATTACTGAAAAAACTACTGGCATTGAACTCTAAAACTGAAACTGTCTTCTAGTGAAGCCATGTCAACCTTTTCTCACTCCTTCAGGTGAGCAGCCATAGCATCAAAAATAAGGTCAGTCCCATTTTTTGAAATCATTTGAGCAGGATAGATTGAAGCAGTTATAAGCTAATGAGTCTAAATCACATCTTAATCAAGTAAATAATTATAATAAAAGTGACCCACTAGAATTTACATCTTATAACCAATGTATCAAAGGTGAATAAAATAACTTTTTAATAATTAATAAATAAAATTAAAATAGATCCAGAAAATATGCTTTATCTATTAAGCATCAAGAGCTGAAATGACACCAAGCATAGATTTTTTGCTCTCAGAAAACAGCAACAAAGCAGTCAGATCATCTGAACAAAAACAGAAATGACAATTATTTCTCCAGCACAACCACCATCAAGCAGCTGTTCTTTCAAAGTCATGTATCAGTTTCTTCTGAATTTGCTATTGATGCTCTAGCCATCACACTAGTTATAGTACTGCTCCATCAATTACTTGAAGCTTCAATATAAACGTAAAATATTTTTGTGGTTATTTTATTTTTTCCATTAAAAAACTTCACTGAACAATGATATGGCATATTATACATACATACATACATACATACACACACACACACACACACACACACACACATACATACATACCTCTTTCAATAAGTACATCAACAGTGCTTCGTTTATTATGGATGGTAATATTGTTAGCCAGATTACTATCTGTTCACAACAATGTGAAGTCACAACTGCAAAATTCCTTTGTCAGTGTTGACCTTCATATGCATCAAGAACCTTGCATATTGTAATGAATTGACATAGTATATGTCTGGATACAAGCCTTTTGCAATTGACAGATGGAATTTTATCGATGTGCAGAATTTCTAAGTACCATCCAAGATGTTTTCGTATGGCACCAAGTGCCACATATTTCCCAAACATTTCTCTGTTTGGATGATTATTTAACAGGTAAAATCAGAAGTGAGGCTACTCTTGATTTATGCTTTTATACTTTACTCTTAATCAATATAGGCACAACTACTCCAAATAACAGTGGTACAGTCATTATAAGACCTGACTGCTAACATTACACAGCAAGCAAAACTATCAGCAGGCACAGAGCAGAGGTGGTCTTTAGCAGGTTCTGACCAGTTCTGGAGAACCAGTAGCGGAAATTTTGAGTAGTTCAGAGAACCAGCAAATATCACCTCTGACTGGAGATTTTACAGTATCCTTCCCCTGCCATGCCTACCAAGCCATGCCCACAGAACTGGTAGTAAAAATTTTTGAATCCCACCACTGGCACAGAGACAGCGATCAGGAGAAGGAAACACTGTGAAGCCATTAACCTTTATTGTTCAGACAATGATGTGATTTAATTATATTCTAAGATGGAAAATATCCATAGTGTATAAACAACATGGCAACTAAAATTGCCAAGCATCAAAGAAAAGGAAAGTGACAAATATGATTGTCTGAATTCTATAGAGCTCTAAAATAACAATAACAATTTGAAAGGTCAGAGATATGGGCCAGACAAAGTTCCAATACAGCCACATCTGACAGTTTTATCTCAGCCTTTCAGGTGAGTTTTCTAAAAAAAAAAAAATCTTTGAAACTAAGAGCAGACTTCAACTGGATATTATTTTGTTGCCTAATACACATATACAACATTGTTTCCAACATCTTGTGCCTTTCTCATGTTGCTCCACTAAGTCAGTGGTTCCCAATCTTTTTGGCAACAGGGAACGGTTTCATTGAAGACAATTCTTCCACAGACCATGAGAAGGATGGTATCACGCGCAACCTAGATCCCACACATGCACAGCTGAAGCTTCACTTGCCTTGTGCAACTCTGTTCTTAACAAGCTGCGGGCCACTACCAGTCCATGGTCCAGGGTTGGGGAATCCCTACATTAGTGATTTATTTTACTCCAGATCAATAGAAAAATACTATCAGAATGCTAAGATTAATTTACATTATTGTGGCAAATGTAACTGATACATACGGGGATAGACAACAATTCCTCTTTTAGTTTATTCGGAGAGCAAATTTTGCCATAAGAATTTAGAAACCAAGCAATAGTCATAATAAAATTGAAGTAACTTTAAGAAAGTACCTTCCACATAGAATATATCCACTCAATTAATTTAGGAGGTCCTCACTGAAGCCAGCCCAAACACTTGAGATTATACAGTGTTTCAGTGACTAAACACTAGATATATAAAAAAAAAATGCTATGCAAAATGACTACTAGTGCTCCTAACAGTTTGCATAACACATGTGAATATCATTCAATACTAATGATAAAAATATTAGGTTTTAATTAGTTAAAAGGTGCTTGTTTTAAAATTAACTGTGGACCATTCCAAACTAACTCATCACAAAATATTTCCACTGGAACCTTGCCACTTTCCTTACAAATAACATTCATTTATGAGAACATGTTTAATTATCTTACAGTTAAAAAACAAACAAAAAGAACAAGTCAAATGACAAAAACCTGAAATTTAACAAAACACCATTTAAATTTAGTTATATTCCCATAAAATGATCCAATATACCCTAATAAATCATATATGTGTGCAAAAGATATGTGTGCATAAGTGCACCAATCGTGCCTACCGTCCCTGTCCTATTGTTTTTTATTTTTCTTATAAGTACCTATCTCGTGTATACAAAACTACATTTATTCTTATACCTGTATCTTGTAAGTGATTGACAAATCAAATAAATACTAAAAAAAAAATCTGCAGGCAATTTATGTATATTATTGTTAGCCGTATTATCTATTCATATAAATTAATAAGCATGTGTAGTATAGAATTTTCTGATGTTACTGTTATTTGCTTAATAAATTAAATGTATAAT